GATGGATGGATGGATGGATGGATGGATGGATGGGTGGATGGGTGGATGGGTGGATGGGTGGATGGGTGGATGGCTGGATGGCTGGATGGCTGGATGGCTGGATGGCTGGATGGCTGGATGGCTGGATGGCTGGATGGCTGGATGGCTGGATGGCTGGATGGATAGATGGATAGATGGATATTAGTTTACTTGAATTTAGTGTTCAGTACAGCGAACGGGGTTATGTTCTGTGAAATTTATCTACAGTCTGCGGCCCACATCACCATAGCCTCCCACGCAGGCGTTTTTAGGAGAGCTCGTTTTTCATCCCTCACCACTAACGCCTGCTCAACCGAAAACAACATTCCTTTCCCATTGTTTTATTTGCGTGGTGACCAATCAACAATTGTGCAATAAAGTGTTGACAGGATAAACACGACTGAACGTGCGACCCTAGAGTTACCGTTTTCCTTCTTTTCTTTCCTTCGATAAGGTTATGCAGTGCATGAAGTATTCTAAATTTTGACTAAATCTTATTTTTGCCGCTCTGAATCTAACATTTATGAGAGGTCAGAAAGCTGTCCCAGTGTTTAATGCAGATCGAGTAATTAGCAGATTACCTCGCGGTCAAGGTCACCTTTCCAGAATTTGGAAAGTGCAATGTGATTGGCTAAGCTTGGGAAAGGAATGTTGTCTTCTGTTGAGCAAGCTTTTGTGGGGAGGGATGAAAAACGAGCTCCCCTAAAAATGCCTGCGTGGGAGGCTAACATCACCACTGATCCACGATTTATTTATTTATTTATTTTATTTTCAAGTTCTTTTTAACCGATCCTCGATCCCTGATTTCTCGATCCTCGATCCTCGATCCTCGATCCTGATTTTCCAGTAAACCTTGAAGTTTTGCTCATTAAGATTATTCTTTTTTTTTTCGACCACTGAAGTGATAAGTTGTTCCAAAATAATCAACACTTTCAAGCCATAGAATTCTTGGACCAACCCGTTCCGCAAAAGCTCGATATGGGATTTCTATTCTATGGACATGAAGTGCTGCAAGTAGAGTGTGCGGTTAGTCAAGTTCAAAGCTACCCGTATAAACACATCCGTGGCACGTTAGGGTAGATTTCCACTGATGGGTTTTTGGCTCCGCATGTTAACGCACGTAAATTTTAATCACGTAAATCAAATAGAGGTAAGACATAAAGTATTGAGACTAAACGTCAAATTAAGCCAGAGGATTTCCCCGCTTTAATATTTTCTCATCCTGCCTGGGGATATTTCCTTGTTAAAGTGCCTGCATATCGTGCATAATTACACGAAAATCAAGGGGCCTCCATTCGAGGAAAATTACATCACTGCCAAACTTACATGCCTCATTTCAGTCATCGCCGAAAATAAACCGCATTCTCATCACGAGACTCATTTCCATACAATGAAAGTCGTCACGATTCTTATCCCCAGTTTTCACGGTCTTCGCTACGAACGCGGGGCCTACAAACTAGGTCCGACCGACAAAAAAAAAACGACTGCATTTTAAGAGTCTCGCTCTGCTTAAGCAAGCTCGACTAATTATTGGATTCGGCTTCCCATGATAGCGAGAAGTATCAAGACTTCGGTTTGTTTTATCCGCCTTAGCCTTCTGCTTTGGTAGATAACTCAACCTTAGCTTTAATAATTTTCGCTATCATGCTCAACCTCATAAAAACTGTTAATTATCACTATCTGTTTTGCTATTCATTGACATAATTTGGCACACTGAGTCCCTTGGTATCACAGAACTGTCCCTACCCTACCCCTTTAAAAACCCTGCCATAATCCACCTCTAAAAGTGTTCATTAATGTACTGCTAACTTCCCTTC